CACAGAATTCCCATGTGTGCGACTCACGCATTATTTAATTTTTGTTGCTCAAAGGCTGCCGATGCCACAGCATTAACTCGATTATCCGCTGCAATGAACTTGAACATGAAATCGTACGCAACACCATGCAACTTCTGGTCGCTGCATGCGGCTACTGCAACCATGACCATTAAAGCTGTGTACAGCACAAACCTCACTGATTAACTCTTATCACGATTGTGTGGTGGTACAACCAAGCTGAGGTCGAATAATGGTACATGACTTTGTTACTATGCGTGCATACTCGTATAGTTATTTACATAATTAGATTCTAAATCCACAATTTTGGTAAAATAGTGGAATAATAATATAAGAAATTTAAGCAACAAAATTATTTATTAAAAATTAAAAAAGAAAAAAAATTTTTTTTTTAATTAAAAACAAAATCAAATAAAATTAAAAAAATTTAAATAAATAAAAAAAAATTAAAAGAAATTAAAAAGAAAATTAAAAAAAGCATAAAACTAAACAAGAACATTAAAAAAAGGTTATTTTTAAAAAATTTCAAAAATTTTTTTTCAAAAATTTAAAAAAAAAATATTTTTCAAGACTCAAAAAAAAAATTTTCAAAAATTAAAAAACAATATTTTTTAGAAATTACAAAAAAATATTTTTCAAAAATGAAAAAAAAAATTTTTTTCAAAATTAAAAAAAAAATATTTTTCAAAAATTAAAAGAAAATAAAAAAAAAATTTTACAACAAAAAATGAAAAGAAATTAAGCAGAAAATAAAAAAAAAACAAAAAAAGTTAAAAAAAGGTTGTTTTTCAAAAATTCAAAAAAAAAAATATTTTACAAAAATCAAAAAAGATAATAATAATAAATAAAAGATATTAAAAAAATTAAAACAGTAAGAAATCAAAAGAAAATAAAAAAAAACATAAAGCTAAAAAAGAAAAATAGAAAAAGCACAAAACTAAAAAAAGAAAAATTAGAAACAGCATAAAATTAAAAAAATAAAAATAAAAAAGGAAAAAAGAAAACAGAAAAAAAATTAAAAAATGAAAAAGTTAAAAAAGAAAAAGTTAGAAAAGGAAAAATTAAAAAAGAAAAAATTAAAAAAAGAATTGAAAATACAAATAATTTAAAACGAATTAAAAAAATTAAAAAATAAACAGAAAGAAAAAGTTTTAAAAAATATAAAAGAATAAAAAGTCCTAAAAATAAAAATAAAATAAACATTTAAAATTATTAACATAATAAAATTTTAAATTAGGAAATAAAATAAAAATAATTAGTAAACGTGAAACAAATTAGAAAGAAATTGATAAATAAATACAAATTAAAAAAAAAAACCATAAAAAGCCATAAAAAACTAATAAAAAAAATGAAAAAATTTTTTAATATTTATTGAAATTATTGAAAAGCTAAAAAAAGGTTTAAAAAAGTATTTAGAAAAATTTAAAAGCTAAAAATAAAAAATTTAAAAATCAAGTAAAATTTAAAAAGGAAATCAATTTAAAAAACAGGATAATTTCAACACACACATTTTAGGTTTCTCTAGTCTGCACGGTGGACTTTAGTCTTTTACAAGTGGTATGATCGAAAGAAACTTAACTGTGATATTGAGGGGGATTATTCCACCATTATTAGGGCAGATTATTACTTTGAACAGAGCACACTTATGTACTAATCGGTAGGCATACACTCCGATACGATCGATTTGTTCAGGTATGAAATTTTGGGTCATATATCTATCAAAAGGCATCAAAGAGCGTGAAGTATGCTATTTTACACACTCAGGTTCAAATAAATATTGACACGATCGGAAGATTACAACATATAACCTACAGATATGAGGTTTTGGGCCAAAAACATGTCAATTCACATAAATAATGACTCTGAAAAAAAGGAAATTTTATATGGTAATAATTTTTTTTGGGTGCTTAAAGTTGATAAAAAAAACTATTTTTTTTTTTTGTAATTTGTGATAATTATTTATTTTGTCTGATTTCAATTCATGAAAATACAGTTAAAAGTAATTTATAACTAGATAAAGTTTCAATAAAAAAAACTTAGCAAAGATAATCATTTTAAGTAAAAACCGTGACTCCACAAGTCTAACTGACAATTATATAAAATGCATAACCGGCACCTGCTGCATGTCTAACCTCAACAATTTCACGGTCACACATAATCCTTCTCTGAAAATTATTCGTAAAATTATTTGGTTATGACAACATAATCGTATTTGGAATAATAATCACATATTACTTGGAATTTTATAAGCATGATATCGGTGCTGCTCAGGCTACCTCCTTTTCCGCTTGCCCTGTCGCTGCTGAATGCCAGTAAACAATGGCAATTTTAAATTTGTACGCTTGTGTACATTTCAATGCAATTATTAATGCAAGTTAGATATTTTCTCTTAAACATCAACGAATGACTAAATCAACAGAGGAGAAAATAATATCGAGTGTCCTCCTATTTGTAAGTACAAATGAATGTATTTATGTATGTATGTATATATGTTTGTATGTATGTGCAATCTTTTGGTCCACTCGGAAACTTGGTAAGTGCACACAGTAGTGCCAGACTGATTGAGTGTGCGTGTGTGTGTGTGTGTGTGTGTGGGTTTTTTTTGCAGTTTTAGTGTGGTTTCTTCTGCAACTGCTGCAATTTGTTGGTCTGCTAGAAATAAACTCTATTGCATTGGCAGCGTCGACGATAACGCCAACATAAAACATACTTTTCTCTTTATATGTGTATGTACGTGTGTGTATGAATTTTTTTTCTGTTTCTGAAGTTGCTTTGCAGAGAGAACAAGTGCTGCTGATGCGCCCGTTGCAATTGCTGTTTCTATGGCAAAGTTTGTGTGTTGGCGGATTGGTTAGTGTATGCAATTCGCACTAATGAGACCAATTAGCAGTGTGCATTTGTGGTGTGCAAATGAGAAAACAAATCAACAAACGATACAAAAGTATCCAAGCACTATGTTTATGTATTCTACATACGCACTAGTTTATTTACTGACTATAATAGGAATTACAACAGATATTTGCCAAATTCGTATGTCACTTCGATAAGAAAATTGTATTCTTCGAGATCCCATAACTCGTTTTGTCTTTGGCAAAATCGTCTATCGGCTAATTCAGTGTTTATAACCAAAAAATGGAAGAAGTAAAAAAGCGAGTGCAACCAAAATTTATATCAAATATGTCCCGCCTGTTTGAACGCAAGCTAAACCCTCAGTTTCTGGAAACGCGCCGTATTCAGAAATTAAGTATACAGAACTCTTCCAGGATCTAAGGATTTGTATCTAAATAAAAAAATGACGTGAAACTTTAGTACATAATGTAAGCATATTCTGGATATATTCATAGTGTCTATCTATCAATTTATTGAGGCTTACCTGGAAGTAATATCTCGGCAACCCCTTCGTCCACTTTCCCAATTGCTACGCGTTTACCTACTCGCCGACTGAAAACCGTTTTTTTAGTCACCTGCTGCTTCAGAAAAATAAAGAAATAGTAATCTGAAGATGCTACATCATTTACCTGATTGTCCGGGTTGGTTCAGGACATCCCATTTGAACGATTCGAACAGTCTCTTCGTGGCGTTGGCTGTGTGTAGTCTGGCAAACTCTTTTTGTCGCTTGCCTTTCCTCTTGCAATGAATTGCCTTTCTCATATTTTTAGATTTTCACTGCAACTCATACGGTGGATTTCCCATTCAAACGAGATATTGGATGCGCGAGACTGTATTGATATTGTTCACAAAACTTTTTATTTTCAGAGTGGTATATAAATATTTTATTTCATCATTAATTTTTAGTTCTCAAAAAATCATAAAACTTTTCTAAATCCCTGAAGAATCGCAAAGAACCTAATGGCATGCCATATTTGGAAGTCTATGATTTTTGCCATTAAGAAGAGGAAAAAAAGAATTTTTTCGATCCTTGATTCAAAAATTTGCTGAATATCCACTCAAGCGGTTGATAAACTTGTTTTTATAGAAAAGCAAATAGTATTAGCATATCTCTTTGTCCATTCTTAACAAAGTTTCGATTACGGGAAAGACCAAATAGGTATGATAAATAATGGGTTTCTTTTTCAACTCAAGAACGACTTAAAACTCTACCAATACGTTCCCATGGCACTCACAAAATTCTCCTCCATGAATAAAAAAATATCAGCGAAGGTTTTTTCAACAGCTCATAGAAACTATACCAAAGCCACTCGATGCTATTTCCCAAAGCAATGGTTGTACATTTACATGTCTTCAGTGTATTAAAATGGCATAATTAAGGGTTCCGTTGCGAAATAGTGTAAGTTAAGATTAAATACAGACCAGAAGCGCATATCATTGGCCTTGAGATTAGGTTAACCTCAGTTCACGTAATACAAAAAATACTTAAAGCAGCTCCCCTTGTTTAGGTCAAATAATTCACACACCCAAAGACATCAGAAATTAGAAGCCGTAGTGCAGAAGACGGTGCAAATGTTCAATACCCCTGAAATCTCAGATTGAAGTGCTTACTGCTTACAAATATTCCATTACAGGAGACATGGGCACCCACGTCGATTAACAAATATCTGTACGTCGTGCACATAGCAGTTGTTGTTTATTCTTGTACCTATGTGCAAATATGCGGTTTCCATATGTAGGCGTTTGTTCAGTAAATGGGTGTTATACTTATGTGTATTAAGTGAGTGGGCGTGTCAACGTGTCGGCGCTAACGTCACATATTATGCAACGTTTAATAGCGTTTTCTTTTGGAGGTGTTACACTAGCGCCGCCATCACTATCTGAACCGAGAAAGTAAACACCTTTGTGCTGCGCAAACATTATATGTGTATAAAAACATATTTATGAAACACTCATTTGCTTCTGAAATATTCTGTTTTGGTACTAACAAAACCTTAAATACTGAATTTTAAGCTGATTAACTCATTAAACCATCTTTTACTTAATTTGTATGAGTTAATTTTATTAATGATTTTTTTTTATTTTATTTTCAGGAAATTAAACATGTAAGTATATTTTGAAACAAACTAAGAGAACACATTTAAAAATACTTCAAACCTAGTATACCTAGCAAATCCTACCAGTCAGAAAACTTTTTGCCAATCCTGCGAAAAGGTAATTGTCACATATCGTTCAAAAACATACCAGTCTTAGACTAGTTCAAAACGAATACAAATAAAACTATTTTATTGTTTAAATAAATGAAATAAAATAAATAACGATAATCAATCAAATTATTTATTAGTTAATAAATAAAATATAGAACTATTAAATAATTTCAAATAAAACGCAGTAAAATAAATTAAAAAATAAATGAAATAAATTAAAATAAGATAAAATAAAATAAGTTAACAAAAATAAAAAAATAAAATAATATTAAGTGACCTGCAATTTGTTTAATCAAATTAAATAAAAACAACAAGCATCGTAAACAAACCAAATAAAATAAAACAAAATTGAAAAATATAAATTAAAATCAAAAATCAATTCTAAAAAATTAAAATAAACCAAAACAAAAAATTATAATGAAATCATATAAAAAGAAATAAGTTAAATCAAATTATTTATTAGTTTATAAATAAAATATAGAAATATTAAATAATTTTAAATAAAACGCAGTGAAATAAATTAAAAAATAAATTAAAAAATAAATTAAATAAATTAAAATAATACAAAAAATTAATGAAGTGAAATTAACTAAAAATTAAAATGAAACGAAATATATATTCAAATGGAACAAAATTAAATAATGTAAAATAAAAAATAAAATTAGGGCTACAAATTAATTCAGACCCCTCTAAAAAGATTGTTGCTAGTTTTGGCTGATCTTGGAAACCCATAGCTATTTCATTGGAAAGGTTTTACATCTGTCAAGACAATGTCTGCATTTGCTTAAAATAAATAGCATTTGTAAGAAATTTTGATTTTCTATTTCAATTGGAAATAAGCTGAAGCCCATCGAAAAATTGACGTGAATCTGCGTCGACCGATAATTTATGCAGAGAGTGATTTCGACGCTTCAAATTCGTCAAGCGAATTGAAGAGCGGCTCTATGAGTGGATCGAGGACACATTTAGAGATTGTGTTTATAAATTTCAGAGAGAAGGGAAGAACTTGTCACTTCAGATGTACACTATTTTGAATTATGTATTTTTCACTTTTTGTTTCAATATAAAACCATTTACTGAACAAAAAAAAAAGACAGACAAAATCAATAAAATATTAGTAAGAAAAAATACCAAGAAAATAAAGGACTATAAAATGAATAAAATTATAAAATGAAATCAAAAAGAACATGAATAAAAATCTATCTGAAAGAAAAAAAATAATGAGAAGCTAAAATCAAAAAGATCAAAATAAAAGTATTAAAAAAATTAATTATAAATAAATTAAAACACTAGTAAAACACAATAAAAAAAACAGGATAATAAATAAATTAAATTAAACTAACAAAATAAAAAATTAAGTACAGAAAAATTTAAATAGACAAAATAAAGTCATAAAAATATAAAAGATTTAAAAAAAGTAAAATAGAAATTAAAAAACATGACAATTTATATAAATTAAAAAGAATAAAAAGCAAATCTAAGAAATATATCGAAAAATTAAAGAGAAAAATAAAAAAAAATCAAAAAATTAAATAATAAGGATATAAGAAAAAAAAAGTTAAAACAAAAAAAAAACAAAAAAGAAAAAAAAAAATAAAATAAAAACAAAAAAGAAAAAAAGAATTAAGAAAAGAATTAGAAAGTGGAATTAAAAACATAAAAAATAATAGAAATAAATGATCTAAAAAATAAAAAGAAATTTAAAATACATTTAAAACATCATGAAAATATAAAAGACATCTAAGATAATAAATAAATAAATATTTAATACAAAAATATTAATTTCAAAAATAAAACGACGTCGAAAAAAGTAACCAAAAATTTAAGAAAACAAAATGAGATAAAGTTTATTAAAACAAATATAAATTAAATAAACATATTATCATGTTTGCTTAAAAATTCATAAAATTCTGAATACTCTTATCTTTTTGATTTGCACAAAAAAATATTTCGTCGGAAAAAGGGTTGAAGTGAAGGTGTTATTGAAAAAGCTGCTTTTATTTACTCTCTTTGCCCACTCAGAATATATTTGCGGAAATGATGCACAAAAATAACGATGTTAGCCATTTATAGTGTATTTTTAACTGTAATAAAACATCTGCAACATAATAATCCGCAGTCACAGTAGGAGGCAGTAATTATAACATACATACGCCTATTGTAGAAGGACAAGAAAAAAAATATGAAATATTACGTAAAATGGGTGTGAACAGCAGCAGTTAGTGAGAAACTAAATAATTTCTCAGCATCAAGAATATATATATATATACATATAATAATATTAATTAAAGAAAATTAAAATATTTCTCACTAATTGCCATTGTGGAAAATAAATAAAAACAAATCAAACTAAAATCTTCTCTAACGACCTCATTTGCAACTATTTCTCTCGCTAACTGAACATACATATCTTAACTGTTTTTTTTTCTTTGAAGAATGGTAATATTTTGCTTTGGATTTTTTATTACTTGCTCAGTCGATATGTCGGGCTGCCATGTTGGTGGCAAAATGTGCGAATGGATTTTACGATGCCATATGTGCTTACGTGGAGGTAAAACTGAAAATTTAACATTTTTTTGTTACTGTAATTTTCCCTTTCTTCCCATGATACGCCCATGCGTTCAAGGCCAAACAATAACATATTGGAAAATTTTCAGTGGTTTTTGTGTTTTTGAATTTTTTTGGTTTTGTTTCCTTTTCTCATACAATTGTTAGTCTCATTATTCATTATCATTCGTAAATACTGGGAGTATACAGTATACAGCACTACTTTCGGCATTACACAGTGGTATTGTTGCATAGGTCTTTCCGATAAAATTTGAATATCCTGATGTTTATACAATTTTTTTTGCGGTATTTGAATTTTGCAACCAGTTTTAGTATACTTTTTTTTAAATTTCATTCTTTTTCTCTCCAAATTCAGTGTTTGTGTATATTTTTCAAATTTTTTTCCCCAATCAAATACTATAATCTGCATCGTTTTGCATAAAATTTGCACAATTGTTTTGTAAGCAATGAGTCTACTTTTGATGGTATATATGTATATATGTACTAATTGTATGTTTTGTGCAGTATGCGTGTATTATTAACCCATTGTTTGTAGTGGCTCATTAAATGCATGTTGCTCATACGCACTGGTGAACATTAAGTTGTTAAGCGCTGCAGACCCGCCCACATATTTCAGAATGCGTTAATATTAATTTAAAATTGTGGGTATAAGTACATATTCTTTATACTATTCGCAATACAATGCATAATTTAAAAAAGCGAAACAGACGTAGTTTGATGCACGAGAACGAGGTGAAACATTTTCTTTGGTTGTATGGGTGTGCCAATCAGTCATTTCATTCCATTTAGTATTACTGCAGTGAAAATTAAAATGGAGCGATCAAAATGATAGCGCCTTTATACATATTTTATAAATATTTTTTTTGCAATTATATAACTTCAATTTGTGGTGGACCCTCTCATGTTTTTCCAACAAATAGAGACACCCACAGTTAATTCTAAGAATTTTTGTAAGGTTTTTTTTATTTATTTATTTACCGTGGTACGATAACTATTACAATAATTAATTTGTTTTATTTATTTTCTGTAACTGTGCTTGTTCGTTTGGCCATTGTATGAACCGATGACTTTCTGCAGAGTAATACGCACTACAGTTAGTACTTACTTTGTTACTACGGCTGAAAAATAATTTCTGTTATAAGAAAATTTAGACAAGTATACACTATTTTAGACCTAGGCAAACCAAAACAATCTTTCGATAAATTTCAAACCAATTGCCAATAAGTGGCTTAAAAATGGCTATCTGGCGCTAGCCAGAAAGTGCTCCGGTTAACAAGAGTGATACTATTTTTGATTTCAAAAGTAGATAGTAGATGGGTGAAATGATCTACGAGCTCGAAGTTAGTACTATCAATGGTGACATTGGAGTCAGGACCTGGTGAAGTCATGCCTATGATATCAATGTCATTTTGCAAATGAAGATAGGCAAGCCAATGCTTTACTTAACGGAAAAAATCTAATTGTGGTTTACCCTATAGTACCACTCTATGTATCTGCCAACAATAACCCAAATGAAGAATATAGTGTGCTTTCTTCTTCTGAATTTTCTCTGAAGAGATCTTCAACAGACCAGCATATTTTAGTGTCTAACGTGTTGGATTTTAGGTGCTTTTCTTATGATGCCAGGCTGTCTTGCCGCTGTAGGTTATGGCTTCAAGAATTTACCCTCGTAAGACAGTAAAAGATGTCTTTCGTAAGAAGCGATTCTAGTCCTATAACTATCAGCCGAGGGGGTTTCCTACGGAACGCTCCAAAAGCTATCAATTCCGAAGCATTCCCAAAATCAATGGAGGGAATAACATGCCTCCACAAAAATTCAAGTTCTCGGGGATCCATTGCGATCGCCTCTTCGCTTTGGAATCTTTTCCCTTAAAAGTTCTATGGTCTCATTGCTTGTGTGGCACGTAGCGTCGTCTTGGCCGTCTGGTCATAAAATATTACTAATCATAACTCGCTAGCGCAATACATTCACCGTAGCTTTTGATCCAGCCTCGTTTTCGAAAAAGTAAGGTCCACTGAATCCGCCGGACCATAAACCGCACCGAACAGTTACACTTTGAGCAAGGGGAGGCTTTTAACAATAAATCTTGGATTTTACGAGCACCAGATGCGATAGTTTTGCTTATCATTCCCATGCATTTCTATGACCCAATCAGCCAAGGCTTGAGTTCTTGTGTTAACTGAACTTCGTAAGCCTTAAGACCCAAGACTTTATGCAGAATACGATCTAATGACGCTTGTGGAATGACAAATTCCACAGAACAACGAGGAATGGATAAACCTGAGTTTTCTTCAACACATTGGGCTGCAACAGCAATATAATCAGTTGT